GATACATGTTTCAGGTAAGATAGCACTTATTTGAAAGCTAGCTTTACAAATACAGGAACTGATAAACAGTGCACTGGCGCAGGGAGATTTGATGAGGACTGTCAAACTGAAACCATGGAACCCCCCCCATATTTTCCTAGAAATTATCTTTTCTGCCTTCTCTCAGTGAGAAGCAAAACCAGCTTCCAGTTATCTTGTTCCTGGGTCACGCAAGGAGTTTTCTGCACCAAGTTAGAAGTTTTGAGATAGAAAATGAATTTCACCTTTGGAGAACATCAGTCTAAGAGTACATGATTAGCCCTGATTCTCCAGCAACCCATTCCTCTACAACACATGAAATCCCCTATTGTGAGCTGCTCCTGTAGAAATAAATGGTTGTGCATATCAGAAGAAACATACTCATAAAAAAAGCACCTGAATCCCCAAAAACCAGCTTATGTTGGTGATTGATCCAGACTATTTAGACAGATTGAAGGTCCAAAATATCACAGACATCCATGCTCACAAAAGAGTACGTAGTTCTGGTATGTTTTGGTTATATTCTCAGAAGTATTTATCATTAAAGACTATTTTCACACTAGTGCTAGGGCTAGTAATAATATTTTTGCAAGTATTTTCCTACAATATTTGTTATCTTTTTAAGGCTCTTACAGATATCCTAATGAAACATTGCTGTAGGAGAGCCAGGTGTTATTACAGCTTGAATACAGACTACAAGAGAAGCATGGATGGCAATCTCTGCTAAAATAACAAAGAACTGGAATTGCCTTTCAAGTACTGGAAATTTCAGTTCTACCTTTAGATGCAGGAAAAGATGAAGCTCTACATCAAGCCTGTGAAGGGACCAGTAACTGAGAGACACTGCAGACACACACTGCATAGATACAGAGGACACACTACTTTGGACACAACAGAAGGTTAAAGAAATACAGCGCTTGTTTAGCATGATGGTCTAAGATGTGTTCTGAGTCTCAGAAAATCTCTAAACCACTGCTAACTGGAAGTATACAAAGAAAAGATTCCTTTGCATTCATCCTTAAACTTCTATTACTGAACTCAGTTATGAAATGGATGCTGGACCACATGGTCTGAACATTCTTATGTCAAATTATATGAAGATTTCTTTGATGATCCCAGGAAATAAACAGCTAACAGCTACAAAAACTATCTTTTTTTCATGTCTTCGAGAGAAAAAATGAATTCTTAAGTGTCATGAATGGTGTAGAGGACACAGTTTGGGAGGATTTATTTATTGTCTCTTCCAACACAACAGCTATGGAGCATGAGGAAAAAAAAAACTAATACGTGACAGGTTTGAAACAATCAAAATGTAGTTATTCTCATAGCATGTAGTTAAATTCAGGAAATTATTGTTAAAGGATGTTGTAAATGCTACAACTTCACCAGAACTCAAGGTTCAACTAGGCAAGATCCCAGGAAAGAAAATTATCATAGAATCATAGACTCATAGAATCATAGAATAGATTGGGTTGGAAAAGACCTCCAAGATCATCAAGTCCAACCCCGATCCAACTCCAATTACTATATCATGGCACTAAAGGCCACATCCAATCTCTGCTTAAAAACCTCCAGGGATGGTGAATCCACCACCTCTCTGGGTAGGCTGTTCCAATGCCTGATTACCCTCTCTGTAAAGAATTTCTTCCTAACATCTAACCTAAACCTCCCCTGGCAGAGCTTGAGCCCATGTCCCCTTGTCCTGTTGTTGGTTGCCTGGGAGAAGAGACCAACCCTCACCTGGCTATAACCTCCCTTCAGGTAGTTGAAGAGAGTGATGAGGTCACCTCTAAGCCTTCTCTTCTCCAGACTAAACAACCCCAGCTCCTTCAGCCTCTCCTCATAGGACTTGTGCTCAAGTCCCTTCACCAGCCTCGTTGCTCTTCTCTGGACCCGCTCCAGCACCTCAATGTCCTTCCTG